GCTGGACTCTGAACGTGGGGGCTGGGTATACTCGCGTGTAGCTTGCTAGTCTCTCCCAGAGTGGACATGGAGCTCATTTGCTGGAGGCGACTTCTATCCGCCTCCCATATACATCCCTGTCACTTGATCGCGGGCCTTTGACCGAATTGACTCGTAGAATACAATCCGCATAAGCAAGATCGCACCCACACACGCATGCATGAATACGCCTAGCAAATACAGAAAGTATGTGCCAAATCAGCGCAGCAGAAACAGGGAGTCCATCCTCTGGATCCACCTGCGTCTCAGGAAAGCAAAGGTCGTTTTGGTCCGCGATTATCCCCCTATCTGCCAAGTGGGGCGCGCCACGTAGCCTCGCGACTAACCGGCTCGAGATCCGTCATATGAGAGAGATCTATGGTCAAAAGTCAATACAGGAAATCAAACAACTTCCAGATGTCTTTATGGCGATTTGTAAAGTTAAATATGAGCTTGGAATACGTTGGTTTAAATTCGAAGGTAACGATTCTTTTAGCACCAAGTGCATTGCTCCATGCTTGTAGGGCTTTGCTTGTTAATATCGGAATGAGCCCGATATTCTTTCAGCCACCATCTCCAAGAAATGCACCGAAAGCAACGAAACCATCAAAACTTCAAAAACCGGTGAAGGCGAAAGAGCCGACTGAGGAAAAGAATGGAAAGAAACGTAAGCATTACCTCAGAATTACATGGATATGTGGAGTTCCACTGGTGAAAAATGTTTAGCGCAAAAAATCGAGAAAAGTATGGCAAAGGTAATCATGAAATTCTGAGCGAAGACTCCCAAAGAAGAGGAATTTTTACTGCCCAGCGCATTAATCGAAACTTTTGAAAGTGGTATTTAACGTCTTAAATGAGCTGACCTTGAACATCAGTGTTTTTGCGACGATAGTAAATAACAGCTAAAAATGTCCTTACGGAATTTTAGATAACGAACGCATACGTAACAACGTTTAGTTTTTTTTGCGGCTACCGTTTGGAATTAGATCTATTTTTCATGAGATATGTGAAGTGTGAGATTTTCATGGACTACGTCTAGCCCAACACCTATGATGGATAATATATCGATTGAATAAAGAAACTATCGCGATTGAGAAGCTGGACCGAACTTCAGCCGAATAAAGCTGTTTATCGACCTCGTGGAAGCTTATCAATGATAGAATGCATAACGCCTCTGAATTGCTTGCGCCATAGTAATAATCCGGAAAGAATATGAATTAAGACTAATGCATGCAGTCAACACTGCTCATTCATGTGTACAAGAACGTCATAACGCCAGTGCAGCCCATTAGACCAGTTTATCATCACAAGCCACACACCTGCTCATTACGCTCACCTTCTTCGGATGTTGTACTCGATGTTATACTTTCGCTGTACGGGGAACGAGCCGTTCTTTTGGGACGAGCAGCATTCAAGCGAAAGTTCATCCAGCACTCATGGTTTGCTTCTATTAGACAGGATGAGAGAAATTCCTCGGAACAGGCATATTTCTTCTACCTACAGAGATTGCATTACATAATCTGTCCTAATCCTAAAATGTAATAAAGTTAGTATTGAAGTGTTAATCATAGTGGGCGGAAGTGCTCGCCCAAAAATTCCTTCTTGAAAGTTAGCGCCGAAAGGCAGAAACGGGCAGCTTTTCACGCTTCGTCGGAGTCCGCTCAACGGCTCTCGTGACCGAACACCGCCGTTGAAGCCCACCATTTGGCAGATCGAATGTAAAAACTCGTTCGGCCGTTCAAATGATACTTCTAATAGTATCCCGTGAGTAAAACATGCCTACTGATTCATATTGCATGTTTGAACTAAAATAATGTTTACTTAAGCTTTAAAATTTATTAAAGCTATCTAAGATATCCTCTGCTATTATATTAGGTTCTTATTCATAAAAATTCGAACATTGTTTCTTTTTTTGTGGCGAACGATGCTGTCTTACATTGCGTTGCTGCGTAGGAGTCTCTCGTTTGTTCTCCTTTCGGTTTTTTCTCATAGCCTAAAAAAACGTTTGGCTTCCGTCAAATCAAGGATGCGTTCCACTCCATTAAGCATCACAGAAGTTACCGATTACATATTTTGTCCATGCGATTAATTCCATAGTCTGACCGACTTCAGTCTTGTTACTTAGTGCCGTTATCATCTTAGACAAGTCTGCTATCAATTTGTCGCCCTGACATGAATGGAGAGCTCAGTTAGTCCAGGTGCACGGTCGAACCAAGACTATCTGCGTGGCACTCCACTGCTAACCTCTGAAAAAGATATCTCTTCCTTCTGTGTTATTGTTATCTACTTTTTTTAAGTCTCGGCATTAATCACTGCAAATCCACGAATTTCCTACTTTGTTGATAAGCAAACATGAGGTTGCTACTAAACTAATTACTCACGATAACTGGTGTTTCGGAGGTTTCGCCTGCTTAAGAGCCTCCGAACGTCAGGCTGACAGGCATTCTACTCAGTCAAGCACTTCCATAACTTCACTAGATAATACTTTATACATAAATTTTTATTTGCATACTAAACAGCTCCTGTTTCAAAGAAACGAGGACATCCAGAGATGAAAATCTTTCCAGAATTTGAACTTTCATACCTTAGAGCAAAATTTTTACACTTAAGTGCTATTTCTAAAAACTCTCGGCGAAAAGATTAGAAGGAAACAAAAGGGCAATCATTTGTGAAGTTTCTGGAAAAATCAGTTTTGAAACATTCATCAATCAGCGCTTTTTGGCCTTTAATGAAACCATTGTTTTCTTTGAACCCTGTCCATTGATGGTTTTCGAGTTTTTGAAGGAGATAAAAATCTCTAATAGACGGGAGAGTTGACTAGGTACCCCGTCTTCAGCCTAGAACGTCTTCAAATCTGGCAGATAGTGCTTCGCTTTCCTCCTTTCAGCAGTCTCGCCTCCTTCAACCGGTGCGATCTCGGTATTGTCGAGCCTGCTGGACTCAGTCTTCGGTGAAATCGGTAGCGTGATGGCGAAGGGCAAAGCGATGCAGACGAAGATGAGAGCGAACAAAGTCGTTCCATTCGCATCGAAGTCAGTTCGATGTTCAAGAAACGAGCCCAACTTCTATTTTTCTGGGTTTCCTTGTCAAAATTCATTGAAAAAACTACTAATGCATGCAATGCATTTGTCTGTATTGCATGTACGGTTGCAAAATGTTTAATTCTTTTTGTTGTGCCAGTGTCCGCTGGTGAAACAAAAGCAAAAAGTCAACTAACTTTTGAATTTCTAGTGTTAGTAAAAAAGCTAAATTCGTGTTTTATAATCACAGTACGTGACCTATATTTGTTCAAAGTGCTACACTCATCTCAACATATTTGAGAGACAATATAAAAATAGAGGGCTGATAGCCTAGTCGTAGTGATGTCCGTCACCGCGAGGATGGTGCTAGTTCGAGTCCGCTCCAGACCGACTAAGTCTTTCATCCCTCCGGGGTAGGAAAATTGGTACCGGACTTGTTTGGGAAAAAGTCTGTCTCTACAATGCAGCTGGGAACGCTCCAGCCCAGTAATGTCAGGACTCCAAAGAGAATTGCTCGACCAAAACTCTACGACATTCAAGATGGAATGAAATTCCTCAAGCAGCAGCCGAAACCACACGTAAAAGTTGGAAGATCTTCGTGGACAATGGACGCAAAGAAACGAATCGAATGTAAGAAGTGCTGGGATCCGTACAGTAGACGCGAAGACAGGTCATATAAGAAAATATAAAAATCACTGAAAAGGTCCAAGTTTTGACCTCTAAGACATTTCATCAGTTGGATGAGCAGCAATCAATCATTCAATTTCCATTATCTTTTCAGCAAGCTACTAACGTTTCAGAGTACAACCTAGACATTTGGAATTGGAGCCGCTCTGTTGTTTGTCGTCATGTCTTGTTCGCGGCGGATGTACTGCAGTTGTCGCATTCGAAGTGAGTGTTTTCATGCTTGTTCATGAGATTTTTACTCCTTCCGCATCTCGCCACCAGCTAAAATTCCACCTGCTTCTATAGCGAGCAAGGTTATCCAACTGAGATCGTCTGGCTCGAAGAATTAGGAAATCATCAGGTTCTTGGATAATTAAGCTAGAAAAATCATTTTTATTTCCTTTTAAGGGTACTCATGAGAGGACTTAGCCATTGGGTCAAATGTCTTATTTCTGCACATTTGAAATCCTGTCTTATCCAGCCGCTGAGCACTCCTGTGCACCCGTGGTCGCCAAGAAGCATTACAGATGCGGTGCATATCATCTTGGACATTTCGGCAAGCAGGACAATTGCAATTCCGCTGAACAGAGAAGCCACACATGTTTGTTGCATCTTCGTTTCGCATAAGGAGCTCGAAGGTGACCTGTACAGCAGAGTCATTCGACGGGTTAGTATAAAAGAACTTCACATCGGAGAACTCAATCATGTACGCGCTATTACGACGCGCGTTACATAGACGATCCAGAAACGTTCGAGTGTTCATGAGAAGAGCTGGGATTTGTCTCGATATAGTGTTAGGCTTACAAACTAAGCCATTCTGTTCGTGTGCTTCTTTACACAGCTAATGATAGGTCTAACCTCGAGCGTTAAAGAATCGGTAGCCGCAAGATCATCAGTGGATACAATGGGTTTCGATAAGTTGCACTCACAAGACGGTACATGTCGGTAATTTAATGCTGGCTTGCGCAGTAACTGATGATTCTAAACCTGTCGCGCTTGCCACGGCGACCTATTCGTTGTTTAATTTTCGGTACTTGCATTTGAATTCCTTTTCGGGTAATGGGCAATAAATGGAAGCACGTTGAAGATGCTTTATCGCTGTCTCGACACTTTGCAAATGAAGATTTATGTAATAAGTCCTGTCTGCTAAAATTATGAAAGCGTCTTACTAAGTAGATTACTCGTCAATTTGACCTGTTCTGAGGAAAGCAGAACAACCGAAACGTCAGTTATTGCAAGTGAATAAGTCGTGTAGCAACAACCCCGTCTCCTCTCGTCAAGGAAACGGTGAGGTACACGACGGTGTCTTCGATCTTCAATCGTTACCATGGTTCGGAATGTCAAATTTTCTCTTTTGCTTGCGTCAAGGGCTACCAGCGCCCGTTGTTGACAACGCCGAATTGCCTTTCATTTTATCCACATAGCATTCAGATTTGTGACAGATTTATGGTGAGGAGAAACCTAGCGTCAAAGAAATGGACACTGAGGTGAATGCCCTTTGCCTCCTTCACTAAACCCTTGATGAGCATCCCTAACCACATCCTTGCTCCTGCTTAGCTTTGTGGGTAAGATAGACGTAGTAACTGAGGCATTGAGAAGTAATCGTTCCATCAAGCGTGAATAAAGCATCAGAAGCGATTTGACTTCCCATAAACACTGTTTCCAAGAAATTCAACTGAAATTAAGTTTTCTAATAAGCGTTTTCAAAATTGGACGGAATCGTTTTGCCTGGATAATCCATGATACTGTAACAACGATATCATCAACGGAGCAATGATGATATCGGTAGAGCTAAGCTCCTTCCTCTCCTCGACAATGGTTCCATTTCACTTTCTACATGATGCTTTTGAGAGCGCTTGTAAGTAAACTTGGCGAGATATTTAGCACCTTATTTTAACCTTTCGTTTTACGTTTATAGCGATTGTTCGGGTATTCATGGCGTATGGTATTGGTATAGTGGTGGAATTTCGGTTCTGAAGTTTTTTTATAACCAAGAAAAAGCTATAAAGACTCTATGCATGTCCTGGCCGATAAACCTAGAGTTAAATTAGATACTGCAGTAGGCATGCATAGGACAGCGAGACATTATGGGGAAGATTTTGAAGTCCAATTTATCATTTTCCCAAAGAAGTTTAAAAATTAGACGCATAAGATCTTTGAGGAACTTAAAGTTAATTGCAGACATCTAATATAGAAACGCAAGAAGGAAGGCCTCGTTATGACATACCATTCTAAACTATATCTCAGACTTACGGTCCCACACGTGGAGGACTGCGTGGAAGATTCATAGGAAATCGCTTTTGAAGAAGCTATTTTTTTCCATTGCGATTGAAACCGTTTTTCCTATTCAAGTTGTAGAGGTATTTTGCCAATGGATAGCAGTCAAGTTGAACTTTCTAGGCTCTGAAAAAGGCGAAATCCACTGAAAGTTAGCTACTGTTAATAAATAGTATAGCAATAACCTCGCACATCAAAAAAGCAACAACATAATAATTAGTTTCGATACTCTCAAAATCCTTCTTTACTCCTAGATCCGGGGCCTAGTTTAGTAAAACTTTGAAACGAATGTTCTTAAGGTGTTCTACGTGCTGGCCACGCTGCTGATTGTGATTGGAAGTATGTCCGTCGGTGGATTCAAATTGTGGAAGCCGTTACCTCAGACATTCAACCCTTGGTTTCGTCATCATCTCTTTTATTATTGTATCATCGTCTACGATGTGGTGGGTAGAGAATTCCTCTTGCTCAAACAATGCGCGAAAACCAATTAAAATAGTTGTTACACACTTTTAACAGTTTACATGACTTGGCACCACACCTGCTGCGCGTATCCCAGCACTTGCATTTGATTCGTTTTCCTCGCATTCATCGCCCACAAAGGTCTTCGAACATTTCCAGCGTTCAACACTACGAGCTAGCTAATGAAATACCGACTGCTACACGATGCATTTCCCGCTCAAAGTAGATCGCACTGAGGGCGGCAGTCGAACAACATGCGTCCTGGCTAAAACGGCACCGTTGAGAAGTTCCCAATTTAAGCGGCTCTTCCCTCCACTGGATTCGACTCAATGCGACAACGACCAGCTGTGGATCATTGGATCGGATCAGTGCGACTCTGAAGAGGGCGAATGCGCCAGAACGTTAGCTTAATAGTTTTCATGACAATGCCGTGTGAACTCGATTATATACAAACTGATTTCCCGTTGTGTTACGTCTACTGCTTGAGAATTCACTAAGGGGATGAGGTGGGTCCACTGATGAAATGAATCGCTAACCACTGCCTCCCACCACCACCAGCCATTACAATAAAAGGGAGAAAAACTAAAGAAGTGCGCGCGAACTATCCAAACTTTTAAAAAAGTTAATATGCGAATCACAATGTTAGTTTTTTATTTACTGCAAATAATTGTTTTTCACGGCAGGGTATGATGTGTAATGCTTAGATATTTTCAAAACTTGAACCACAGGCCAGATCGAACCCGCGATTACCCTTTTCGGGAGCTCACGTACTACACACCGCACCACTGAAGCCCTTGCTTTGCATTTATCTCAGCCAGTTCTCAACCGTGAATGTTTTATCACATACTAGAAAAATTCTTAGAAACGTTTCATATAGTTGTAAAGATTGAAATTATTAGACGATTATCAAGTTTTGTTAACTAACGCGGCCATGTTCGTGCAGAGTGGAGTGAATTCAAATGCACTGCAATGAACATATAGTCATTAGTCCGATCCTGCATTGCAGAATAACCAAACTCTCATCCCCATTCCTTTAGGGACAACGAATTGATGACAGACATGTCTGCGATAGGGAGTGCATGTAGAGCACTGTTTGGAGGTGCCCTGCAAAACACATGGGATCGATCCCAGCGCCCAAGTCTCAGCAAGCCTTCTATCTACTCGAGATTTGCAAATTGGTGCCAGATCTGTCTGAGAGGACAGTACCATAGGATTGACACATCGGCAGTTCACCGCAAGTCATTGTAAAGGGCAGTTATGCATTCAACCATCACCAACGGCACTCAATAAAGTTGAATGCATGGCGCATTCCTCAGGGATAGACCAACTCCGAGAGCGTGTCTTTGATTATAAAACACTGAAGTGATACATTGTTAGGCCTCCGCAAGTCATTGTGCTGGTCAGAAACGCATTATCGTCGAATGCATGACAGATCCCTCAGGTATTAAACAAAAGTAACCCGCTTGATTGTCTACACTTAAACGCGCTCAGGCTAGAAGCAGAGTGTCGACTTGATTTTAGACTTACAAAGAATTCTAACGTTGTGACACATATAACAACACACAGCAATGGCGACATGAGATGCTTAGCATTTAAGGTTCTTCTTTGCTTTGCAATCGCACTGGCGCGCGGTTTGATGACATTCAGCAAGGTAGGCTAGCCGCTTTTTGAAATTCCTCATTCTCCACTTTCATGCCATATTTCAGGTGCTGGTGCGTGTTCACTATCCGTTCTGTTACGTTTCACTGCTGGTGAATCTGGGTTTTCTGGTGTTCTCCGTATGGACATTCTCGTCACCTGGTCCATATACATGGACTCCCACCAACTGTTTACTTGTCCTCTGTTTCGCCATGCAGATTCCTCTACAGATTTGGGCAATTACTGTGGTGAAAAGCTGTCAGGACTTCTTCTCTTTGATCCATGTTTTCATCACTATGGCAGAGGCCTAGATTAGAAACTGTAAATTGCATTCACAAATCTGCTTCATAAACAGAAGCATGCCATATATGTCCTTTCTGATGACGGTAGTGTTAAATTTCGAATACTATCGTCAATTATTGTTCAATACTTAGAATCTGATGCCCAATTTCTTATGGCTTCCGGATTTCATCGACGGTTAAACCTTCTCCCCAGACGCTGGGTATCGAAGTTACCTCATACAGGATGACCTGGCTCCCACTTCCCACCTACGATCCATACATACCCTCTTTATTATCAACAACTTCGTGCATCTCTTTCAGCACAAAAGGCAACTTTACCGGTTTTTTTTTGAACAAGCCACTACTGAAAACTGCAGCTATAAACCTCTGTATGACAAAATAGATGAGAAGAAAGAGAATGAGCTGGTATCAGTTCATCTAAGCTGATCTGTCACATATAAGTGGAAATCAGCACAGACTGTAAGCGTGAGAAAAAACATAACTTATTTAATCATTGATGATCTTTAGAGTTTCGATAAGGTAGTGCCTTGTAATTGGAATCTGATCCCTAAGTTAAAAACCATAGACATTTGATGAGTCACCAATAAGGGCATGACAGACCTTTCATTGCATTCATTGCTTTCTCCTCGTAGATATTCAAGGAAAAGTGTTGCATGGATTAGAATGAAAGAATGCTTGTGCGAAAATAAAAAGATGAAAGATGAATTTGTTTTTTTTCATTAATACCCTACTGTATTACCCATGTCCAACGATTAAGAATAGAACAGGTTGCTTTAGAATAATAGAATGCTGAAAAGTCTCATTCGCATTCGCTACTTGTCTTTTACGTTGGATCGCTAATACAGCATTGTGGAACTGAGCACAACAATTTACGGTCGTTGACAAATAGCCCAATTTTTATAATATGTTTTACTGAAGGGATATTGAACGTTTCAGCGACTTTACGAAAGGACTAGGGTTTATGGCGGCTTTAGAGATGTTGCCGTGCTCATCGCTGAGCACGTAGAAAGGTATTTTTATCATGCATTATACAAATTTTGAAGGAGGTATGTGCAAATATAGTAAAGAAGGTAGGTGCGATGACCTTTTGGAACTCACCGGACGACTCATCATAGTGATTGAATCAAGAATTATTATTGTTACTAGTTATAATCAAAATGTTAAGCATTTTATTTACTGCCTACTCTTTTTAATGGCAGGGTATATTGCGAAATATAACTTCAATGATGCTGAGATATTGGCAAAACTCCGAACCGCAGGTGTCTGCAGAGGCGAACGAACGCACTATTGTCCTTTCCGAAGGAAAGGAGTATAAAAAGAGTAGACAGTAAATAAAACGGTTAGGATTGTAGTAATATTTGGAAACCGACTTTCCTTGAATCTCGGTATCACTAATCAATATGTATTCCTTCTTTGATGAATTGACACGAGGTTGATAATGATATTTATTTTCGGCTAACGTTTCGACGTCTTCGTCTTTCTCAGAACCGATGATCCGAGTTTTCGAACGTCGAAAATTCGAGGAGATGAAGACCTGACTCAGCTCACTGAAGAAGACCTGACTCGACACGAAGGCGAAGCTGCAACGTCGAGACGAATAACAAGCATGGACCATCGACTCGGATCATCGGCTCTGAGGAAGACGAAGACGTCGAAACGTTAGCCGAAAATAAATATCAGTATCAACCTCGTGTCAATTCATCAAAGAAAGAATACATATTGGTTAGGATTGTGATTATAACTAAAGCCTCAGCTTAACTGGGTTTGTTGCCGATTTGGACTCCTCAGATCAATCCCGCTGACGTATGATTGCTAACGGCAAAAGATCGATAGAACTAGCTGCGAGACAGCCGAAACGAAGTACCCGCATGATGTGATGGTGAGCGCGTTACTCCCCAGAAAGGACAGTAGCGCGTTCGTTCCCCACCGCAGACACCTGTGGTCCGGAGTTTTGCAAATATCTCAGAATTATACGAATTATATTTCGCAACATACCCTCGCATTAAAAAAATAGGCAATAAATAAAAAGGTTAAGATTATTCCCACCATTATTATTGAGTACTGTTACTATTAATCATTATTATTGCTAGTTATTATTATTGTTATTACAACTGGACCCGATATTATATGTATCACATTGTGCGGATGCTATTTGTTGCATTCGATTCGTTTCTTCCTATCCGCCGTCCAAAGAGGTCTTCGGACTTTTCAACGAATGTGGTCTCGGCCTGCTTGAGGATTTTTCTCCGTCACGAATGTTGCTGAATGCTGGTCGAATCGATTATCCCTGGGTTCCTGAGATAGCCGTGCTAAAGCTTGCTGCATGGACTACAGAAAGTTGAGCTAATCTAGTACTATTTTCGGACTCTGGGAGACGAGACACTTGGTTATGATATTAAGGTCCACAGCAAACCACTATAATAATTTTCGCCATAGAGTCGTTTGCATTGCACAAAAGTTCATTTCGAATAGAAACAGATACGTGATTTATTTTAAGTGCTCTCTATCCTTTTAATAAATGGATCTTCGCCGTGGAATGTGTATGCATTGGTTTTCGTTGCCCTCTTTTCCTTATCACTTCAAGTCCTTGATTGTCTAAACTCATCTTCTACAAGGATGAAGTTCTGCGAGCACGGTGACTTTTCCGATTATGATTATACACATGCAGACATAAATCGTACATAAATGAATGAAAATAAATGGTTCACGAATCGTACCCAACTGCAAACTAAGTTGTTTGGTGATAATCACCGCGTCATGCTATCTTAAGGTGTGTCGCTCTAGAAAACACACCCCTTTGAGTCTTCATCATAACTCGGAAACCGATATCTAGTTTTTCTTCTGTTGGATATTTGTGCTTTGCCTCTCGCCATCGAAGACGAGTTTTTTAAAGGCCTGTTAGGCGCAGTTCAATTTTATTTGGTATGAGTAATATTTTGGGCTTATGTAACTAGGTAGTTTTAGATGCAATGCAATGTATATTGGATCGGTCGCTTGTTCTATCCCTAGTTCTGGGTTCATTCAGCCTTCGACATATTCGTGTTCGGCAAATCGGTACTACACTCATCTGAGATGCTAAAAGTATTTAGCAACTTGACACATTGGGGGGCCAAATCAGGTCTTTATAGACGAAACACGTATTCAGTCACATTTCCATCGCTTAATGGGGTCGAATAGATAGCGAATTGGTAAGAAATAGATCACTGCAGAAGGGATTATTCTTCGTTCCTTATGGATGATATTTCAGGCAACATCGTTTAAGGCAGCGTTGCTGATGCGCAATCTGGTCGTTGTTGTAGTGTTGACTCACGTTTCAAATGAGATTCATACCAGTGTTAAGAATGGTGAACACTCTGTTTTATTTATATTACTTCATCGAGACTTTCTCTGGAAGGTTCAGACGTGCTACATGCAGCCTTTGCTGTTCTGTACAACTTCCCTTCATGTCGCTTTCCACAAATGGCCGACTGAAGTATGGTCACCCTTCTTTATTTAAGAACAATTTCATTTCATTACTGTCATGGGATCTTTACGAACGAAGTTTTCTTCCGATCTATTTACAGCCACACTTCTACTCCACTTCATTGGACCATTGAAAACATCTCTACTTCAGTGGTATTCTTTAAAAGATAAGGAAGTCGTCGAAAAACAAAGACTTCGTATGAACTCCTCACTAAGAACCTTTTTTGTCGCACGTGAGCTACGTCACTCCATACTGCAATGCAGCGGCGAGCAGGTTTTGACCAGATCTCGAACCCCTTTTCCAGTGGTAAAGATCGATGGAAGAGCAACATTTGGATATTTCGGTTGCGGCAGTAGTCGATAGAGTTCTTATGTAGGTCTAATTTTTCACCGACAAATGCTGGTAGAATGGCATTCGTTTCAACGATGAGAAGCGGTTTTTCGAACATTCAATAAAGAAGACTCCGAAGAAGGCGGAAACTGCCGAAACGTCAGTTTATGTGCAAATAAAGGAATAAAATAACACTTCGAGTTTGTTAACAAAAATATAAAAAATTATTCGATAAATATGAGAACAAACGGTAGTGGACATTCCAGACAAACTTCAGCGACACTTACAGTTTGGATTGGGTTGACAGTGCACAATGTTCCCAAAATGGTTTGTTTTATTTTAGGATAGGTACAGGAACACCTTTCTATGTGAAGATGAATCGAATCCTTAAAAAAAGAAGGTGATGGGTGGATAAACCACAGAATCACGATACTATAGAGTTTAGGACGCATAATATTCTATTTGTAACTGTAATATATTTCCTCCCAACGGTTTATCGCCTCATCGTTGCTGGGAGGTCTTCCTGGGTGCGATGTACAGCGAGGAGATTTGTCCCCACGGCAGGGTCTCTCCAGCTGAGGAGTCCGGTGTTTCCATCAGGAATCGTAGCTAAGAGTAAGCCAATGCCAGGATCAGTCACCGTCCTGGTATCAAACCAGTCGCATGGTAGCACATCTCCCTCTGATCCACATGGGCCGTGACTGCATGTGGTGGTGACAACATGGAACAGACTTTTGCTTGGCTGACTCCAGAGAACTACGATGGCTAGGCCAGCAAAACTTCGAAAAAAAAACGGAAAGTATGCTGGAGCCAGCACAATCAGTGAAGTCAGGTCATCCAAATATCCAATTAATATTCTGTTTGAAAAGACAGAATCTCCAAGCATGTCGCACTATTCCGTATTCCCGTGGACAGCAGCGAACTTCGCTTTTCTTCTCTAGAATCTTCACAGAAAAAGAATTTTTGGAAGTTTTTAAAATGCCCAGCTCAAAAACAGCCGCTGCAAAAAGTATTAGATTGTTCGGAACTAATGTCGGATTTATTGTAGCATTGCTATTAAAAAAGACTTATCCGACTAATGCTTTTACGTCTCTTTTGTCTACATAGCCGGATTGATCAAGTCGATGGTCCACAGGAGGTGCTTGCAATGTCAATGTTTTTTGACTCATAGAGTCGAATTCGGTGAAGTGGAGTACAGCCCTATTAAGAATCTCGC